TCTTACTACTAGTAAGGCACCTGTTCCTAGTAGCGTGGCACTTGTTCATGAAAGTTTGATCCAGGGAAAACGTAAGGTTCTATGAGCCGTTCGCACCTGGAGTTTGGGCTCAGGGGGTGCTTAGCCACTAACAGGTGGCTATAGCACAGGAGATGTCTACCTTGCACGTGGCTGCAACACATTGACCGTGGAGGTGTGCCCCAACGTCACCGGAAAGGAGCTCTTCGACGCCCTGAAGAGAGCATGTTCCCACGCCAAGGCAAAGCTGCAGCAGATCGAACGGCCATGTCTGGTGACGAACGGCATAGCTTATGGACTGGCAGCGATGCAACATGGCGGAAAGGATCACACCACTCTGGCTCCATGGCAGCTTAGTGTGGCGCATGCGGTGACGGCCAAGCCGAGAGACTTCGACCAGTACGAGGCCCCGAAGGATGATAAGATTGAGCCCAAGCCGAGGTACCCCACACACTTTGCAACATGGTTGAAGCAGGCGCGGAACGAGATCAAGATGTTGGGTTCAGTTTTGGGCCTGGAGCACAAGAAGGAGAGACTCAAGGCCTTGGACCAGATCGAGCGGGCGCACGAACAAGACTCAGATGTTTGGCCAGAGAACTACTGCTACAGCCTGTGGGAGGAGCTCAAAGCCGCCCGGGTCGAGGAGTTGAGGGAGAGTCGCAGGCAACTTTGCAGGATCCTGAACACCGACAACCCCCGCAAGGAGGACCTCAAGTTTGTGGCACTCGCGCCTGACAGTGGCTTCCATTTCCCCAGAACCTTTGACCTAGCGCACCCTGATGGCTATTACCAGCAGGTATGTGTACCACGGCAGGCAAGAGCCTTGAAGGGCATCATCTATAGCCAGCTGCACCACAAGCGCCAAGCGCCTAAGGTGGGTGGCGATCAACCTCACCTCGACGGAGACGGCCAAGGAGGTGATGCGGGCGGCGATGAAGATCGAGTTGGCCGAGGTCGTGACCGTGCTGGTGACAAGGACAAGAAGAAGAAGGAGAAGGAGCGCGATGAGAAGAAGGCATACCCGGCTGGCAAGAGGCTTAGACCCAAGGAGGCAGCTGAGTCGGTGAAGCACGGACCCCGGACAAAGGAGGGCAAGCCCATTTGTTGGGATGGAGCCACGCACATGGGATGCAGCAGGGGCAAGGATTGCAACCACGCCCACCAGCCTATCACCACTACGAAGGGACTGCGTTGGACCGTTTTGGCACAGCTGATCCGACGTGGTGGATTGAAGGACGCATCGCTCAACTCCGGACGCAGGCGAAGGCGGAGCATGACGAGAAGGTGAAGGACGGCGTCCAGAAGCAGGGTTGGCTACCCCCGGAAGAGTATGAGGGGGTCCAGTACACTCAGTTGGAAGATGAGCTGAGGGAGCTGACACGGGACCCAATGCTTGAACCCGGGCACAAGTGCTATACGACTTGGGACAGACGAGTCGAACACCCCGAAGCCCTTCGAAGGCTGAAGGTCCTCGAAGAGATGGAGAAAGCGGGGACGTTCGCAAGGCTGAATCAATGGTCCAGCTACCTTCAGTCTCACGTGCGGGGGAGGATGCTGAATGCGGTCATTGAAAAGCAGGAGATGACTGTCGACGAGGTGCTCCTCGAGGCAACCGAGAAGGGCTGCCCGGAACTCGCACAAGAAGCTGAGAAGGTCCTCAATGAGGAGCGTTCAGTGGGTTGGGTCGACGATGAAAAGCAGGCATGGATCAGCGCACCTACCTGGTACAGGGACAAGGGCTATGGTGAAGGTAAGTTCGAATTCCAATGTGGAGATAAGCGCATCAGCTGGCGCTACTTGGACTACAAGGACAAGCTCCCCGTCTCGGACGAGCTGGCCAGTGCGTTGGGGCTACAACCTGGAGAAGACGAAGAACGTCAATGTCTTGTGCTTCATCCAGCAGCAGGCATCCTATTATGGGAAGGCGACTGGGACCCGGAGCGCAGGCCAACCATTGAGGAGGTCAAGCAGAAGGCGCAATCGTTCAGGGCAGGCCTTTGGGATGAAGCTGCAAGAGCAGTCGCAGAACTAGGCGATCCAGCACCGTGGATTGGAGCACGCGAAGCTGAAGTTCGTGGCTACGCCCATGATTGTCTTCGAGCAAACCACGACAAGGACTACAGGCTCTTCCAGGCTTTCGTGCTGGACGAACTTCGTGAAGTCACACTCCAATGCTGGAGGTTGAACTGCTGCGGTCAATTCCAGGTGGACCACCTTGTGGGGAGCCAGCCAGGCAGTGAAGGGCAGATCATCCCATTCCTGATCCATGGTGGTCACATCCGGCTTCTCGTGCCGAATGAGAAGGAGGAACCAATCAAAGTGGCTGCTGAGCTAACCCTCAACGGGCAAGTGGGCAGAGAATGGCAATGTGAAGGCTGGAGGGAGTTCCTAGCAAATGAGGACACAGCTGCCCCCCTTGTGCCTGGAAAACGACCCAAATGCCCTAGATGCCTTGACAACAACCCTAAGCAGGGGAAGGGACAGCCGCAGGTGCCATGGAGCTTCAACGAACACCCAGTGGACACCCAGGAGCTGATCCTGATGGGAGCACAGACACCCTTGAAACACCGACCCTCATTCGCGTATGGAGTGAGGGTGCAAGAGGTCTTTGCTGGCTCAGGGACATGGACACAGGCGATGCGAGAAGCAGGCATGGCAGCCAACGAGCCGGTCGAGCTGTTTGGAGACCCCCTTCAAAAGCGGGACAGGCGCAGCCACTTCGACTTGAAGGACGAGGCCGTGGCCAACCACTATTTCCAAGCAGCAGCTGAACTTCCAGGACCATCCACAGCGAATGTCTGGGAATTTGGAACGCCCTGCGCAAGCTACTGTGACAACAACATCCTGAACGGAGGAACACGTAGCTTCACTTCGCCCGAAGGAGGCCCAGATCCGACGAAGAGCGAGGAGGAGGGTAACTACTTCTGCGAGCTCACCTGCCGGATGTGCGAGCTGCTCTATGCCCATGACAAGGAGTTCGTGCTTGAGTCCTCGATGCCTTCAGGTAGATATCCCAAGATTTGGGATCAACCAGCCGTTCAGAGGCTACAACAATCGACTGGAGCTCTCATCGTGCCGACCCACTTGTGCGAATGGGGTGCAGCACCCAGCGACAGGCCAGAGATGAGGTACAAAAAGGGCCAGTGGAACTTAGTGTCACCTGGCCTATACCTCCACGCATTGTTGTTGTCACGACGCTGCCAGGGCAATCGCAAACACATGGACGTCAAGGGCGAGTCGGACATCCCAGGAGTTCCTCGAACTCGTCGCGCACAGGTATACCCTGGACGCCTCTGCAAAGGATGGGCGCTCGTGGTGCAGGCGGCCTATGCTGGTTGGGACACAATCCAGGTGGCGCAAGCGCTGGAGGTCATACAGAAGGACAATGGCCGAGAAGGGGCACTCCCACACAGGACAGCGAGCAGAGCACAGGACTCGAGGCCCCACCCATCTTCTTCCACTTCTTCTTCTTCAACCGTGACGTCGGAAAAGACAGATCAGCCAGCTCGCTCGACTTCCTACAGGACAGATGGACGCTGCGGCAGTGCAGAGTACTCTGAGTTCCACGGAGGCATCCAACTTCTTCGTGGGCACCATTGCGGCAGCGTTGGAGAGAGCGAGTTCGCTCACGGAATTCCTGTTCCACCAGAAGAAGAGCCTTTGGAGGAGGAAGAAGAGGAGGAGGAGACCCTGAGCGATCCGAGAGAGGTAAATCCAGGAGAAGCAGTGGCACCGGTACGACCCTACGAGGGAGGCATCAATGTCTTCGGGCCACCACAACCGCTAGAGGGCATCAATGGGCGCTCTGAGGACTGGTGGGACTACCAGGAGGACACGCTCTTCCTTGTTCGCCATCATGTGATGTGCAGGAGATCTATGTTTGGGTCGCACTATGGTGATTGGGTGGACTGCCCAGTGTCAGACCACTTGATCCGTAGTGACCGCCGGACCTGGATGTACCCTCAGAGGCGGGACCTTTCAGAGGTCGTTCCGCAAGAGAGGGTGTTTTTGGACAACTGGAGAGTTGACCTTGCAAGGCTGCGTGACATCCCGGACGCAATCGAGGCCGAGTATGCCGACTGGACTGGTGCCACCACGTTCTACCTCTACGACCCGGAGATCAGACCAGAGTTGGGGAGAGACTTGGGGCACGGGCAAGAAGAAGGGGAGGTGAAGATCCTGATTCTGAAGCTGATGGGGGGCTTCAACCGGTGCTTCCAGAAGGGCGTGACATGGCGCCGGCATTCAGGTCACCTCGAGAGTTTCAACCCCCCCACGAGGGAACAGGTGGAAGCAGCGAGGAGGTACTATCCAGGCGGAGGTGTTTGGGACCCATGGCATGGTGGACGCATTGGAGCTCTGACGACCGGCAGACAGCGCTCAAGATCCAGGTCCAGGGGTTTGGCCCCTTCGAGGGATGACGATGGCTCAGA